AATAGTTACTACTTCTTTGATTTTGTTTCACGGTGCAAGTGTGATGACTCTATTTGAATCGAAAAATAAATATTTACCTCGAAGTAGAACCATTGATGATGATGTCTGCAGTTGATATCAGGATTTAGAATGAGGTCATATTCGTTTTCACGTATCTTGAGGAGGAAAAACAATAATATTAAATATTTTTCGAGGCAAGGGGCCCCAAAAAGTGTTAATTTGAAAATGAAKAAAAAACAAAGGTCAAGTTAGAGAAAAGTAGTTACGAAAATTTTAAGGTAATTCCACAAATCTTACTTGTATGGCTTTACGTAAGTTCCCACATTCAAAACGAGATTCAAACTTCAACGTTCTACCACCGCCATCATTGGACATTTTTTCAGAGTCTGAAGTACTAAAAACAATAAAAAGTCATTACTGAGTGCACCTACACTTTTATATAAACCATCAATAAGGACGATGCGTAAAAAGCCACATTGATACGTTTTTGTTCCGTTTTCCGTAAAATGYAATGCGTATTAGACGTACTGAAAACAATAACAAGTCATAACTGGGTGCACCTACACTTGTATATAAACCATCAGTAAGGACGATGTGCAAAAAGCCACGCTTTTGTACCTTTTWTTCGTAATGGTAATAAAAAATACGAAAAACGAAACGAATACGTATTAGACCGTCGCGTTCTCCATTGTATTCAGCTCTTTGTGAAATGAGATTTATACAAAAACGGTGCGAGAAACGCCTCGCTATATGACGAGATCTTAACGAACATGGTGTCCAACAAACCTTGAATTACTGCCACCACTTCCTATCCTGGACTTAGTAACACAGGCTGGTTTTAGTGTAGCGTTAGATTCATTGGTGTCTTGCTTCAGCAGTGCGTCCAGGTCGTATACSACTTTATCCATTACTTTTTGTGGTTGGATTAGACGCTCGATATCGCGGAAAATCATCGTTCTATACCAACACATAAGTAGAATTAATATACCATTAGACAAGTATTGATGAATAGATAAAGAGCACTTTTGGGAGTTCACAAATAAATGGACAGATTGACTACTGAATGGACAGAGAAATGAATGAATAAACAAATGAATAAATGAGAACGAAAAATGAATGGAATAATATTTTTAAGAACAAAACAACAGGAATAATACAAGAATGGAGGAATGGAGGAATGAAGAAATAAGTGAATGAAAATTGAATATGATAATAGTGAATGAGAAATGAATATGTGGCTGGGTGAATGGAAGAATTGATGAATCAGCCTTTCTCTTACTTCTGTAAACTGGTCTTCTTCTGTCCAAGGGGTTCAGGTTCGGCGGGTGGGTAGTGTCCATGTATTTCAGGCATTGCTTGTTTAACTGACGGCAAAACACTTCGTATTTCGTTCGTTGACGAACAGCGACTTGTGCAGTCGTTCGAGGTCGGAGAGCCTGATGTCTGCGGTGGGCTGGTGCCTAACGGTGGATCTGTTCCACTGAAAGTAATTGAGCATTTGATTATACAACTTGTAACCTTCCGAAATTAAAACATACAAAAAAACATGAATCATACCTCAAGCCATAGGGATCTTGTCCGTTGTTATTGTCCGTTTGCTCAACGTTTGACGAGTACAGATTACAGAAACTAGACATGGGGCTCAATGGGTCGTCAGAGGCCGTAGGAATCATGATTGTGTTKGGTAGTATTGGTTCGTCCTCTAGAGAATCATCTGACTCAACCTAGTCAAGTAAAGAAACATTTGGAGCCTGACGTGCAAAATCTGTGTGTTCGACAGCTACTTTGTATTCAGTAGTCTCCTTTACGGTCCCCGGTGGCATCTTGAAAGGTAGTCGTGCCTTTGTATTGAAGCGAGACGACCGTTGAGATTGCAATGATAGAAACCTTCTTTCACACCAACAGACAATTATTTACAGTTATCTATCATTGCATGCTCAACGGTTGTCTCGCTTCGATGCAAAGGTACGGTTGCCTTTCAAGATGGCGCAGGTAACCGTGAAGGAGAAGATAGGTCATACGATAGAGATCGAGAAGGCTTTTCTTTAAGAGCCTACAATGTAATAATTGCCCAAGAAATCACTTCTTTTCATAGGAGCTGCAGCACTCAACCCTCCCCCTTAGACTTATCCGTGACGAAGGAAAAAACACAACACATTTACCAACCTGATATTCAAACAGTTCAGGGAAAAACTTCTCATACATGTGAAGATCGTCTCTCGGCTTTTGTTTCTTGTTTTCGTTGGGTAAGCCATCGAGAGACGTAGCCTGACTCCCAGTCTCTTCTTTATCTTCCTTTGCACTTGCTTCATCGTCTGACTCTACCTCGCTTGACTCATCATCTCCGCTATCTTCATTCGCGTCCACTGCGCTCTGTGTGTTGTGGTTACTCGCACTATCAATGTCTAGTATTTGAAAAGATAGTGGCGACGATGCGCAAGGAATTGGAAGCTTGTTCTTTGGGAAACAACGTCTAAGGATTTGACTGCATAAGATGTTGACGCTGTCCAATTCGCGACCTAGTTGAGAATAAAGATGTATCGATGAAAATGTTAGTATTATTGTCTGTGTCCTATGGTTTGACAAGGCGGTCATAACGAAAATGAAATAGAAAAAAGAAAAAACAACAACGACAACGGCAGTAAAAATTATAACAAATGACAATAAATGATAAATGAAAAAATGAATGAACGATTGAACAAATGAGCAAATGAATTAATTGACACCAAAAACGACAAAAATAATAACTAAAGTGGGAGCACTTACTGTCTAAGTTCTCTAAAGACAGGGTGTATAAAACCTTGATTCCATCAGACTGAATAAACGCTTTTTTTCCTGATTCTAATAATGACAATAAAAATAAATGAAAGGTCAAATTGTGAAAAAATGAAAGCAAATAAATGACAGGAGAACGAGCTTCAAGCATCTTTCCAAAAGAGCACAAGTTCTTATCTTGATTACGCTCAATTGACTTCTGAACCTTTTACGTCGTTACTTAATTTCCAATGCATTGTGGGATCAGTTTCTAGAAAAAAAACAAAAGAAATCCGCCATGTTGGGCCCTTCTTCGTGTAYCGGAATCTATTGTAGGTTTCATTGTATTTCGGGGTATTGTTTAGATTCTGCTCCATTGTTCTAACCCTGAATTACGTAATCTGTGCTCCGGTACACGAAGTAAAAGCCGCCATGTTCTGTCCCAAACGTATCCTACAATTCATTGCGTATACGGTATATGACGYAAARGCTTCAGAGGTCATTCGACGCGCGTTAGTATTTGTTTATTACTGGTCCTTACTTGTCATAGTAATACTCTTTAAGACTCCAGCAATGGCTTTTCTTACACCTGTCTGTCTGTTATGGTGATCTGTTCGATGCCARTCATTGAACATCTGAAGTAAGACGGGYACTGCACCATAATTCACTGCCTTGCTAGCGCTMGTTTCTAYCGAAAAAAGGTCTTTTTATTACGCAAATTTTGGTAAAATTTCGTATTTCTATTTGTATTTTCCTACTAATTTAATTATGTTTTGGGTAAGTTTATTTTTTAGGTAAMATTTCAAAACTGATTGTTTTGACTGGGGCCTCRCTTRGGAAATATGATTTAGCAGATTCCATTGTGCGGTTTAAGGGATTTAAACATAATTAAGATAAATAGAGAACTTAGGTTACGATATCCCACTGGCAATCTTAAAGACCTTCATTCAGAACATTATAAAAACAGTTGGAATCCATAACTTTAACAGTTGGGCGAAAATAGGTCGGAATCTTGTACATTTTTATCGATACGCAACAACGATTCCATATATAGTTTTAAAGAATTCATCCAGTCACTCTTTCGAGTTATGGAATTAAATGTAAGCCGACAACAAAACAATTCTACGTTTTTCGAAAATGCTATACGTAAGGCGATATGATTACGACTAGAAATTTATCGATGCACCCCCTAGTTCTTTGAAAACCTAATGTGTGCCATACGACTTGAATACMARGATAGAAMGAGTAATATCAATCAATCCATTTCTAATCTACGATAATTTGCGATAAATTTTGAAATGTCAGTCCGGTGTTGTGTATAGCGGGCGTGCGACAGATTTCGTCGGACATTTCGTCTGGTTCGAGTTAAAGCTTTATTTACGATGTAACTATACCCTGAGGCTATACGTTTTCTATTCTCATTAGGAAGCGTTTTCAAAGACGCTGGAGTAAAGTGTGTTTCCCGAAATAGTCTGCATGACATTGTACAGTCATATGCAAAACAATCTGCTAAAAAAAACATCATTATACCGGGTGCATGATGGGTAATGTGTGATTTTCCCTCTTTTCTCGCTAAAACAGATCGCAAATCATTCGAATACTTTAAAATTATATAACCTTAAATATATATATATATGATATCAAAGAGGCAAGATTTTGCTGTAACTCCGAGTTTCGTGCTACGCACTCATCAGACAGTATTTTAAGATTAAAATACTGTCTGATGAGTGCGTAGCACGAAACTCGGAGTTACAGCAAAATCTTGCCTCTTTGATATACACTTTATGTGTATTGAGCACTCTTTAATGGGATCAGCCACTTCCTCATACGATTATAACCTTAAATATATAACACAAATGAAAAGCTCGAAATTGAAAAGATTAACGAAAACGATGCCACTTACTTGATTTGACGAGAGCCGCTATGACGTCGAGTGCAAGCCTACCAGAAAATCAAATATATATGTCAGAATTGTTGACTTTGAACAGTAAATTAGATAAACTATTTGCAATAATACTCTTAAATGAATGATCCCAATAAACTAACGAAGTAGTTTTTCAACCGCYAACCAAATAAAGAACTGTTAGTTTTCTCACAGAAATCTCCGTCCCGGTTATCAGGGTTTTGTTTACACAAAATGGACTTTTTTTGTTCAATTGTTCGTTTTGGGAGGTCCWTTCACAAACAATAACGTTAGGTAGAAAGACAAATATTCTTTCTATTAAATCMAGCACTGGCAGCAGTCTCGAGCAATTAAAGGAACATTATAAGAAACATGTGAACTGAATTTGACGAACTAAAAAAAMACATCTACAGTCATGCGGTGCAATGATGACAGACGAGACATATCCTCGATAACTGTTACGCACAAATAACACTTGAAATAACCTATCAAACGACTATTATCTACACAAGAAAGATTTCCTACTGGATGTACACAAACTCACACAATAACTCACTTAAGACATGTTATTCTCTTATGCCCACAAGCAGTGACAATCTTGAACAGTACAGAAACAGCTCCGGCCTTGCCCAAGTTGTTACAGTTCACAGCTAGAGAGAGTATTTGTAATAATGTTATTGTAGCCCATGGCTAGAGAGATACGATATCGCACTTTCTAGATTATCTACTTAAGTATTAAACACAGTCGATTTATTCTGTGGGGAGTAATTATCATAAGATACAGACATGGGAAATATTTTGATTAASCTACAAACTTTCAATTGGATCACTGGTGTGTATACAGTGTAACATTGGACAGCGATTACAGCGATTTCAATGAACGATGATCATAGGAAATAATCAATTTGGTATAGACAGGAATTCTGGGAGCTTTCTCATTTTTCATTGAAACTTTTACGTCGCCTACTTGATTTACAATGCATTGTGGGATCAGTTTATGAAAAAAAATTGCCATGTTTTGTACGATACATATCCTACAATGCATTGCGTAAACGATATTCAAGCGCGACTTTGCGCATGCGTTGATTCACCATTTCTCAAATACCCACAATGCACATGGATCCCAAATCAACGCATATCACGTTGAAAATATGCAGCGACGCCTTTTTCTGCAAAGCATGATGGGAGTTGAACCCCTCGCACTTTAAATAGCCCCTATTTATAAGCGGTTTTTATATTCTCTTAACCCATGATCCATTGCTCACCATTGGCTGTGTACAGCTTCATGACCACAAGTGTACATTGAAGAGCTCTAAAGTTGCARGTATTGTTTCGTATTGTGTTCATCGTCACTTGGAGCGCACCTGTTAGTCTTGCTTTCAGGCAGAACTTACGATCTACAAAAAAAAATGAAAAACACAGGGTWCCCAATTATTACATCTGTGATTGTTCACACAGGAAGCCCAACRGAAAAAATAARCTATATTTACCTAGATCAATCATTATTTTTCTCACCTTTTGGTCCTACTTTAGTAAGTAAGACATGGCCTAATAGAATAACCTCTTCATTGGGTGGGCTTTCATGACTTGCATTGATAATTATCTTCAGTACAATATCTACAGTTCCTTTGGCAGCCAAAACCGAAGCTCTTTTACCTGTGAATAAGCAAATATCAGAGAAAAAAAGGTTTTAAATCATAAATCCTGTATTTTTGAACTTTTATTTTTCGAATTCTATTCTTAAATATATTTTCATAGACAGTTTGATTGGTGTCGATCTGACTTTGTCGGCTCTCGTCTATTCTTAAATGAAAAAAATATATCAAATTTTAGAAACAAGAACTAGTACTATTACCTGAAGTCAGAAGCTCAGAGAGACATCCCATAACATTTAGAGTAAGCTGAGAATCATTGGACATCTATCAAGACAGTAGAGACAATGTTGTTAAAAATGCTGATACAAAACTAGTAAATCTGTGAGTTTGGTTTGTATAACAATGTAGCCAGTARTATATCTTATCAGTAAACTTTAATACCTCCAGAATGAGAAGAAGTGTTGAAATTCCATCAGGAAATTTTGTCATTAGATCTTTTCTGCATTTTTCTGTTTTGAAAAACATTAATCATTATTGATTGAGGACTAGGATACTAAGTTCAAGATGGAAAGTACTAGTGCTAGGCAACTTAAAAAAATATCAGTGATGATATCCCATAATTTCTGATRTATTTTACATGCTTGGAATATGAGTCAAAATGATCATAATTTCTGCATACTTCTGTAATAATTTTAATTTATATATATTTTTGTGCTTTAATTATCACTATCTCCTTAATGGCATAGCAATGCTGGGCCTAGTTCTGTCTTGTAGAAATGATGCTACCTGYAAGAATTTGACCATGTTTACAAGGAATTAAAAACCGTTGAGGCCTAATGAAGTATCACAATAAACTACCTTGTGTTGACAGCATTTGTTGCACTTTGTTTGTGATATAACGCAGCTGTTCATTGTCTTTGTCCAGTTCATTTCTGCTCTCAGACACAGCAAGGCACAGCTTCTGTAATTGCTCAAGAAGATTCCCAATTCTTGCACTATATCAATTCAAAATAAACGTGGTTAATTATTAAACAATTTGGCTACCATTGTACATAATATGAAGAAAAGTGTGTTACTTGTTTTGCTTTAATGATCAAAATTGAATACATACGCYAAAATGACTGCAGAAATTGTTGAGGACATGATTTCACGTTCAATCTGTYTTATCTGATAACTTTGAATTCGACTGTTCTTACATACACATTTGAAATTAAAATTCAAAAGTGATTTTAATTTGCAATATTTTCTTTTACACATGCAAATCCTAAGATTATATATGATTTTTTACGACATAAAATGCATGATCTTAAGATAATATACTCTAGTTAGTTTTTATACATCAMGRGAATCGCCAAAATTTTTTAACCTACTTGTCAATACTGACGCTAAACGTTGGTCAACTTCCAGCGTTCATATTTGAACAATTTTTAATTYAATTAAATCTTCATCCAAGAAACAGATGAGACAGATAATTAAATAGCAAGAACATCGCTATTATAATATCTTACAGCGGGTTTGACAACTTATCCTTATTGACGCAACCRTCTTCGAAAAGGTCAAGGATAAAGTTCTTGAGATGTCTTCAAAACCTACCTTTTCGCTCCTGACTTGCTCATGGTAATCTCTTTTCAAAGATAACAGTACCTTAAGAGTCAAATACAACCGGTGTTAAGTAAATTATTAGAAAACTTCCAGATCATGCAACAAATTTGAGATAACTGATTTCGTATTTATTTGTAGTTGTCGAATAAAGCAACAACAACTTTTCAAAACAAAATTCAAAGAAACAAACCTGACAAATTCTGCTAAATAAGGCATGACGTTTACTTGGTCCTCCGACCTTGTATTACAAATGGTTCCTTGGTTATAAACAATACAAACAAAGCGTGAATAATCGGCTTTTTTCAGTGTWGTTCATAAAAGGTCGTTGGCATTTCCGCCATTTTGGTGTTTACACGGCCTTGGCTCTGGTTGGTTAATCCACAACCGGGTAACCCGCTGACTAACAATACTGCAGAAACATTATAATATCGACTTCCGTTTCCGGTTTTGCTGTTTTTCTACGATTTTTTTGTTTTAGTAAATATAAATACAATCTAGGATGGGAAGCCATTATTCTGCAAGAAAACACGTATACATATTGCATTTCAGTATTTTTTTACTCTTATTTCTATATTCATTACATTCACATTTTTCCTGAATATTCTTATTTCAGGTCTAATTCTTTCCAAATAAATACAATACAATACAATACAATAAAATAAGGTAAAAATTTTAATAGCAAATAGAAGTAGTACTAGTAACACAGCAATGTTTTCCATTGTGTTTACCTAATGAATTATTTTAATAATTATTTAATAATTCATTAAAATGATTTTATAATCTTAAATAATGTCACTCAAGAAACACCAAATCCACACTTGGGATCACAGCATGATGTACATGTACTGTAATATTATCCAGGGAGTAGGGGCATAGGGGTTGCTGAAATCCGCAAATCTGCCAAGAAGATTGTTCAAATTTGCAAGAAAAGCACGCTAAATACACCAGCTTGTCAATTTACATTGTTTACATTTTTAGCAATCCAGAAATAATAAGTATTGTTGCTTCATAGTATGTTAAATTCATTCACTCCAGAATGGGCTTTTCTCAGGTTGATGTCCCTTTTTCGTTATAGTAAGAAACACAGTCTCTAAAGAGTCCCCTCTTTCCATTCCCCCTTCAGGAGGAGTGTACAAAGCCTTGAGCCATTGCCGTAATGCAAATTTAGTCCCAGATGAAAGTCTTTCACAATCAACTCCAGGCGCTGGAGGTAGAACAGCCATTAATATAGACAAAGGCAGTTTTACTATTTCTAGCCCATTATCTCTTTGYACTTGTGCTTCAAAGTATCTTTGCGGTACTTTTCTCGACTGGCCGTAATCRTCACTAGAAGCAACATCAGTTGCCATGTACTCRTCRAGCCATGTGATTGCATCTACTTCATCTGGATGAAATTTTAACCTCTGCTGAAGGGTCCTAGAGTCCTCATTGGCCAGGGCTAAGAGATACACAACAATATGGTGCCTCTTTGGTAGTCCCATAGAAATAAGAGGTGGGTATACTGACTGCAATGAGAAATTAGAAAAAAATAAATGGGTGGAGGAATGGATGGAAATATGAATGACTTAATGAACGGGACAATGGGTGCTGATGGATGGATGAAACACTTGTGAATGGAAGGGAAAGTGAATGAATGAATAGAACAGATTGAAGATGTGCAGTAGCTAAGACAAAATATGTCCATAGAGATAAACATTATTATTACCAAGTATTAGTATTAAATGTTATAAATGCTAGTGATATATTATTATTTCATTTAGATATTACAGAATGTTGTACAAGGATATAAAATGTCTCCACTCAGAGTTACAGATAAGCTTGAAGGAAAACAAGTCAGTATTACCTCCCAAAGTCCAAGAGTTGTAAAATTGATATCATCTTCTGTAAAATTGAGTCCAGTTTCTTCTTTCAGCTCTCTAAGACATCCTTTTAAAAGCTGTTTTAAAAATTAAAAATTTTAATCATTTCACTTATCATATCATTAACTAAGATCATATGTAATACATTTACTCTAACAAAGAATATAGCAAAAATGAACAATATGAACAATTCAAAACTTACTGTTTCTCCCTGTTCAATATGACCACCTATAAAATACCAAGTAAGTTTTGTTAATTAACATTTTCATCGGAGGAGAACTGGGAGGGGTAGGGAGAAGGAGGGAGAGAAGAGAGGGAGACCAACACTGTGGTTTCTGCAGTTTCTGGAGTCCCTAAAGATTTCAATTATTGCATTCCATTTTTGTATTATTATCACTATCCACTGTAATGTGTCTTACCAGGGGGGACCCAAACAGACGGGAAAGTTCTCATATGTTTTGCTCTTCTTGTAAGAAGCACACGGTTGTCAGATGACTGAAGAATTACAGAGACTCCAACACCTACACCCTGCGTTCGAGCTGATGATAGACTAGCAATGTCTGTAGCAGTAAGGAAACGACAYGGACATCCAGTAGGATGCTACAAAGAAAAATACCTTTCAAATTCTGTAAATGTTTGACACCTTTTTCCTACTCTATATAATATGTCTTTATTAATGATAAGAAGAACGTACACTTCTTAAATTACATTCTTAACTGTGAACTATATGATAATTTTTATATCACTTTTTACAGTTAACGAAAAAAAAAACCTGTTAAGGTGCCTTATTTCTATTATGACAGCCACAGGCAACCCAACTACCATGCCAAGAAACCACACATAAACAATGATGCAGGTACCTCTAGTCTGACACCTTGTGCACTGGGGTAAACTTCCAGCTTCCCATTCTGATATTTGTAGCCAACGTCCATCCKRTTGCCTTTACATCTCAAGTGTGTCAAACAGCACTWAATATAACAAAAAATGAAGATAACTACTAGCTAAGTGTAAAATATAATGTAAATAAACAGTAATAATACAAAAACATATGTTTAAATAATGTTTTTGTTTTTCATGTGAATAGACAGTATTAACTTCATTCTATAATAAAATAAAAGCTAATAAAACTTCTTTTATTCTCAAATTATAACAGGTAGGCATTAGTTACATACACACACTTTGCTACCAATGGCAACCGAACCAGCAAGTCAGATTATCATTGCTCCATTGCATTTCAAAATAATCGAATAATAAACCTGTTCAAAGGATGCTGGTTGAGATCCTTCGCCGTTTTCATCGTTGCAAAGATATACTTTTGGAGAATTTGACATTTTTCCTCGTCCAGATCGTGAAATATTCCGCACAAGGTGCACTAAAAAGGCTCTTAACATGGATTAGTTCAATCGATATTCTATCGTGACCGTCTCGGAGATATAGGTCACATGTTTTGAGCCGATCGTCCAGGGGATGACAGCTGAGGGAAGTGGTGTCCAAGGGTAGYGATGGTGCGAAAACGGCGCGTTTTTTGTACTTAAACATTTCTTTCAAGTGTACAGGAAACGCAGCGACCTAAAKCASAARTTTTAGMGTTATTTTAAGATGTCTCGGCGAGCTAAGACGTACGGTGTGGCCTCAGGTCATGCAGATGAAGACACACTCCCGACCACAACTCAGACGAGCTTCTTYCAAAAGGGTCGTGAGTTTGAAAGTGCTTATGTCAACCACAAGTATACAGATGAAGAAAAGGAACAGTTAGCTACGTATGAAAGCGTGGATTATTTGCCGCCACACAGCTCAGTTTATAAAGTAAGTTATTGAGTGCAGCTGTTAATGATTGATTGCTCAGCAATATTTTACTTCCGGTTGGCTACAGGAAGCAAACATATTTTGGGGGAGAAAGTTGAAAGCTGTTAGAATATTTGTGCATGTATCCATCTGGAAAGTTATACATAAAACTTGTATTATTTCTTCCATTTTTTATTAGAAATGGCTTAAACAGCAGCCATCCAGRCTGGACTGGGATCGCTGGGTCATGATGGGAATCATTGGGTTCACAGTTGGTTTCATTGGGTTTTTGATGCATCAACTTATTGATGTCATTGCTGAGTGAGTAATTAAGTGACATTATTACAAGTAAATGCAACTGTTAGCCTTGTGCTCAGGCTACTCTCTATTATCTCCAAGGTATGAAAGTTGACATCATACCAAACTAACATAACCTGCAGCCTGGGAAAAAAATTTTAATCATTGTACAGTACAAACCATAAAAACAGGCAACCTTAACTCAGTACACTATCATTGAAGCTAATAGTAAAATGCCAGCTACCATCTCTTGTTCCCTGACTATTCAGTTGTACTTACTTCAAATACATTATTCATTTTAGGTTAAAATGGGATAAAGCTTCAGAATTTATAAAGGTATTGGCAGACAATAATGTTCTTAACAGTGTGTTATTATTAATAATCATTGAATTCATCATTTTTTCTGTACAGGAAAAGGACTATGCATTAGCATGGATATGGGTGATGGGTTACAGCGTTCTCTTTATTATAGTCAGCTCTGTTCCTGTTGTGGTGAGTCGTAAAGTAATTTAGTATTATTTGACATCTCATTAAACCATTATACTCAAAGATTCAAGCAATGAAAATGGAATAACACCACATGTGCAGGGTACATGATTGTATTTTATATGATTATCTGCTAAAAATATTGACTACCACAATGCTAGTATGGAATCRAATCCTAACCTTTTCGTTATACGTAGTATTTGCGTCCATCTGCCCAAGCGTCTGGAATTCCTGAATTGATTGGCTTTCTCAATGGTACTGTGGTACGTCACATCTTCAACGTCAAGACAATGGTCGTCAAGTTTTTCTCKTGTGTTTGCGCTGTTGGTGCTGGTCTTCCTATTGGTCCAGAGGGACCCATGATACATTTAGGGTATGCAAATAACATATTTCACGTACCTGCGCTGTACAGGAAAGCAATTTAATTAATGACGTTAAGAGGTCTGAGCAACAGTTGAGMAAAAATATCATAACAGTCAGTGTTAACTGTTGGAGTTTAATTTAAATGATTATTGCAGAAATCTTATGGYTATTGTTCTCATTTTCTCTGAATTAACAATTTGATAAAAGCCAGGCCCTTAGATATATTTATTTTTCAAATTCTTCTATTTTTCTGTCAGGAGTTTGATTGGTGCTGGTATGAGTCAATTCAAATCAGAGACACTAAAGTTAAACTTACCATTCTTTGAGAGGTTCCGAAACACGGAGGACAGGTAACGCACTCTACATTGAGTAGAGAAAAAAGCTAAGTATTATAACATATTCTGTCTTGTTTTAATCAGACGTAATTTCATTTCTGCTGGCGCTGCAGCTGGTGTTGCATCAGCTTTTGGGGCACCAGTCGGTGGACTCCTGTTTTCAATGGAGGAAGTGTCATCATTTTGGAACATGAAACTTTCCTGGCAGACATTTTTCTGTTGCATGGTGTCAACATTTACAACTGTAGGTTGAWGCTGTTGTACATGTAKTCATTCTTATTAGTATTGCTTTTGTTCTGGCTTTTATCATGATGGTATCAGAGGATGTCTRATACCATGATAAACCARCAAKTTACTGTTGATTTCCAGGACATCTTTAATTCAGCATTTGAAGGCTTTAAATACCAGGGAGAATTTGGTTTGTTTAAGACCAATAAGTACATCCTCTTCCAGGTACGCAAATCCAAATCCAAATCTTTCATTTAACCATTCTCTTTCCCATTKCATTTCTTGCRATGGACCATTTGCAYTGACTTACTACCCATATAAGGCTCCTGTGTGTTCGTAGGTCAGCCATGGTCTTGCATTAAACATCTTGGCATTCATYCCTACTGTGATACTTGGTGTGATTGGTGGGCTTCTWGGTGCACTTTTTACCTTTCTGAACCTAAAGGTATTSAATACRATTCAATGTTATTYAAGAAATKWATGTAAACCAAGCAAAAAGATCTTAAGAATCTACAAAGCAACTATTGATAGTAATTGTTTAATTTTGTTTCTAGATCGCTAGGTTTCGTCGCTATCATATTGGATCCATCAAATCAAAAGGCTGGAAAAACTTAGCAAAGCTTATGGAGCCAATTATTATAATGGTACAGTGCACTTGATAGTTAATGGATTTCCAAGAACCGCTATGTTTCCTCTATACTACAATTTAGGACCTTGAATTATGATAACAATAGTGATGATATCATTATACAATTTTTATGTCAAACTTGCAGATTATTACTGCTACTGCATCTGTCTTTCTTCCTGCTGCTTTCTCTTGTACTCCTTTTGAATGTTCATTTGCTCAAGAAGGCTACAGGTAGGTTGATATCAAAATTGAAACAAGGCTCAGGAAATAATGGAGAATTCTTTGTGTTCTTCAGAGCCTCATTTTGAATTCTTTTGTATGAGACTAATGAACGAGAATATTGATGGTTATTGGACTTTTTTCAGTCCAAAGTGTTTGTCAACATCCCATGGTCCACTCCACACAGAAAGATCTGTGAAGAACTACACATGTCCATCAGGGATAACAGTTGTTTACAACGGCACACAGTTTACAAATGCTTCCTTTAATGAAGGTAATCAACCTATAAATTGATAGATTAATGATGGATAGGTCAGCCATTGAGCAGCTAAGACACATACAGTACTTTTGTACAATGTCCAGTATCATAATCCTRGAACAGTTTTTTCTTCAAAAGCCACTGTAAAGTTATGGTAAAATTTATGTTTTTGTGATCATAGTTGCAACATTGCTATTTGTGACTGGTGAAAAGGCAATCCACCATCTTTTCTCTAGAGACACACACTTTGAGCTTGGTTATGCGTAAGTACATTATTATTAACAATATATGTACAATCCTTGCATGACTTATTGATAGTGATGTATCACAACTGACATCATTATCTGAGAGTGAGGAACAATCAACAGAAAATTACCCGCCTATGTTCCAACAATGAATTCCTGACAATGTTACTCAATCATKTGAAAATGTTGAATTGCAGAGCTCTATTTACTGTTCTTGCTGTATATTTCTTACTTGCCTGTTGGTCAGCTGGGAGTGCAGTCTCAAGTGGTCTGGTCGTTCCAATGTTGTAAGTTCTGTGTTTTTTTTTTCAACTCTTTATTGTAAATGTTGAAGATCACCATTTATAGAAGCTTTGCAAACATGAAATCTAACAAAAAAAGTGTGTGCTACATGGACGTATTATCATTGCATGTGACATTTATCAAACAGGTTCATTGGAGGCGTCTATGGTCGTATTATWGGAAGAGCAATGGTCGATTTATTTGGGGTTCATACAACTGGTTACTGGGCATGGATGGATCCTGGTGCGTTTGCTTTGATTGGTGCAGCTTCCTTCTTTGGTGGAGTTTCCAGACTAACTATGTCTTTAACTGTCATTATGGTAAAATTATTGCAATCGTTTTGTWAGATCAATACCAAGAAATCCAATCTTTTGTTTCTCTTTATCATCTTCGCGTCATTACACTGAATTCGTTTCATAATTAGGAATTTCAAGTCGCAGAACTCTCTTCCAAAAAGCAAATATCGCAATTCAAACGTAATTGACCGTGGTTTAATATTTCCAGCAATGACTATCTGTCTCATATCAACAATTTCCAGATAATCCAGGTTAATTTACTGGAAGTGTCATTGATCTCTACATTTTTGACGTTTCAGATGGAAATCACAAACGACATTCAGTTCTTGTTACCCATAATGGTTGCTATCATGGTTGCTAAGTGGGTTGGTGATTTCACTACCCACCCTCTGTACCACGCCCTTTTGGAACTGAAATGTATCCCCTTYCTGGACTCAGAGCCTGTAATATTCCATGAAAACTCTAAAAAGTAAAGTACCATTAATAGCGTCATKGTCAATGTCCTYATCAGTAGARTTCATGTCAAAAASGCCGTGAAACAATCGCAACATTTATAGCCCATTTAGTTAAAAATACGCCAGCCAATCTCATGTTAAGTCGATCGCACAAAGTGAAAATTTGAAGGTCGCGCAAAGCTGTTACCGTGAGCCTGYCATGTTGAGGAGTCCTCTCAGTTTACTGATTGCGCATGCTCATGTGTGATATCCTAGTCTATCCCACATGGCTTGGTGCATCTTCTGTTATTATTCATATCGCCTTCATATATTGATAATCTTTTCTTTCATCACAGTGTCAACCTCGAGTTGTTTACTGCTTCACAAGCAATGACAACGCCAGCCATAGTAAGTCGTCTATGCCGTTGTCTGCAGGTAACGTTGGACTAATCGGTGTTTCTCTAATGTACTCAGGTAGTCCATAAAGTTGAGAATGTACAACGTCTGGCGCGCCTGTTACTTGAAACTCCTCATGGTGGGTACCCTGTGGTGCAAAAGGACGAAAATGGYGTGGAGGTTTTCGCTGGTATGATATCCAGGTGAGGACCAAACAGGAACACAAAACGAAACATCAGAAACAATCTGAAAAGGAACGAAATAACTAAATACAGAATAACGGAAACGAAATGACGAACCCCAGCAATGACGGAAAGAAATAACCCAATCTAGCAATGACGAAAACGAAGTAACGAAACAGTCGTATGATGGAAACAAACGAAAGAATGCGAAAGAACAATGACGGAAACGAAATAACGAAACAAACAAAGTCAATAAGTGAAAGATCTAACAAGTAAGGCACGGAAACGAAAAGTCGGAAAGAGAATAGCAAAACGGAGCAATAGTTGGTAATATTTTCAGTGTTTGCTTTATTGAAGGAATGACATCAGCATCCTTCTCTCCCGTGAAGATGTCTTTTCTTCMCGAGAAAACTTGCTGCCAAACGAAGAAGAGATGGATTTCAGTGGTATTGACTACTATTTGGTGAGTGACGGTGGCATAATTGTCTGTTCTTTTTTGTTAAAAGTTACAGTGATCACAATTTTTCGATCTTTCTAATTCACAGATGAATAAAGGGTATCTCCCTCATGCTCTGGAACTGAACGAAACGTTRCATCGCTACGAAGAAAATTCGAGATATGGACGACTGTATATCGATCTTGTAAGTCGCTTAGTGTGCATTTTTGGCACCAATTATTAAGAAAGTTAATGTAAATCTTTTGCTGTCTCGAGGAAAGCCTGTCACTGTTTAAAACCATTCTCATTTTTTTCCAGTCTCCATACGTCAATGATTCTGCGCCAACAGTCCGTGAAAACTTTTCTCTTCATCGTACGTACATCATCTTCAGGACACTTGGACTCAGGTAGGAATAGACAAGTGTGTAGGAATGGCAGTTACTGGACATTTTAATAAAAATTGTGATTTTTCTGCAGGCATTTGGTTGTTGTTGGAAAGAGTAACAGGTAATATAAGTAGAATATTAATGACTGTGCTGAAATTTGCGTGAATGGATAGATATGGGAATAAAGAAATGAAATTTTCAATAAATGTACGAATAAAAGAATAGGCAATGTGCAGCGACGCCATTTTGTGCAGCAAAGGATGATGGTAGTTGTAGTCCTCGTTCTTTTTTATGTCCGCTAAAACAGTCCTCCTTACCAGTTTTTGCTTTTTCTAAGCGAAAATAGAAGTATAGAAGAAAATGAAAAAACGGCTTTTAAGGAGATGTTTTAGGGGCATTAAAAAGTGCGAGGACTACAACTACCATCATGCTTTGCTTTACAAATGACGTCACTGCACATTGCGTATTAAGGTTATGTTTTTACCTGCATCATCTACCAAACAAGAATGAAGATCTCCAGACCACTATGTTTATATTCTGAGTTTGGGGTGGTGGAAATGTCTAATGCTAGTCCCTCTCTTCTTTATAGAGTAAAAGGCATCATCACTAGAAAAGATTTGATGGGATTCCAGTTGGAAGAGAAGATATCTGATTACATTCATGAACATGTGGAACTGAGAACAAGTGGCTCACCAGAAACCAGTACTGTAACCGTTGGTTAATTGTCCAGGAAGACATCTGGTAGCCTTTGTACAGTTTGGCTGCATGCGTGCTAACATCTGTTGTCCATGTAAAAAAGATATTTGAGGAAGTCTCACCATAGGTGGAAATATAACAAACATGTATACAACAGTTTCAGTATAATTTGATGGTAAGCTGCGAAAATGTACCATCATATTGGATGAAACTTGCCTGGTCAGTGCAGTTGAAAATATTGTTACCCAGTTTAAAAATCCTCACTTTATTCGGTACAGATGTACAAATAAACTTTCATATTGAATGAAATAATATCCAATCCATAGTTCATGAATATTATAAATTTGGCTTTAGTTATAGTGAATAAAGATAGTAATTTTGTTTTGTTTTGTTGAATTCAATATGAAGATACAATAGAGAGAACAGCTAGGTCTGTCATGTTGGAGACTTATCATTAAAAAAAGTAAACAAAATTTAACAGGGATCCTTGCGCCATTTTGAAAAGTAGCCGTGCCTTTACATCAAAGYAAGACAATCGTTGAGTGTGCAAAGATAGATACCAGTGAAAAATTGTAGGTGCGAAAGATTTCTATCATTGCACACTCAACGGTTGTCTCGCGTCAACGTAGAGGCACAAGTACCTTTCAAGATGGCAAAGGGAACTTCAACCATGAAAAAGAATATTATATGATTAAAGCTGTTCCAGTAGACTGGGCTGATTTCTTTTGTTTTTTTTTTTGTGACCCACCAGGGCGAAGAAGGCAAAAGAAACAAGGCCAGCCTACTTCATATAATCAAGCCCTTACTGCAACAATTACACAACAACAAATCTTTAGTATTATTATATTTACATTTTCTGCATTTTGACTCAATTGTTACACTCATATTATGACCTATCTACAATCATATTGACCCAGAGTGCATGTCATATATCAATGACACATTTCACTGCTTCTATGATAACTGAGAGACTTGCACACTGGTCAAACACTTGCACTCTACCACACTGGTTTAACAATTCTTATATACTACTGCAAACTAGATGATACATTTTTAGACATGTATTTCTTGGTTATATGGTATTTACTCTACCATTGAATTTCCCTTTGAATGTATTGCTACTAACTTATTAGTACAAATTATCTGTGAGTTTTAATAATTTTTATGAAAAATACCCTTAAATTTGACGCCCTTCTAGGCAAAAGCATAAACATTAATGCCTTCAAAATACACCTGTTTTGATTTTGAAATTTAATTACATGCCATGGAATTAGTACAAATAAGGAACTACATGTTGTATAATTATTATAAGAATATTTGGATATGATGATTGGATAATGATAGCCTCTCATTTCATTCTCACAATATGGAAGATTACACGCTGAACATAACAATGGAAAACTAAATTTCCATTTATATGACAATGGCTATGGCGTTTCCAAAATTTAGACTTTATGCATAAATCATAATAATTACATAACATGCAAATTAATAATAACTATTTATATATATATATATTAATAATAATCCATGTCACTAACACTATCATTTTGTTTGGATATAAACTTGTCACACGACACACAGCAATGGATGTCTCTCAAWTACAGATACAGGCTGAGTAGTTGGCAGTTTTTGTGGGAAGGGGGGAGGAGGAACTTTCTCCTTTTTCTCTTACCATTCTTCCAGCCCCCTCCCCTCCCCCCAAAAAGAGCCAGCCAGTAYGCTGTGAGGAAGTCTCTMAGAGCTCTATTGTGATAAGCCAGACATCTCCAGAGATAAAGACTCCTAACTGACCAAGAACAAAGACCCTTARGACTTCCCTTTGATTCACACCTCACACAATCTCTTTGTTACCCAAAATCAGGTCATGCTTAGACTGATGTAAATTTGGAAGACAGATACCCTTTCAGACACACCTTATTTATAGACACCTGAGAGGCCTCATTTCCAAGACACACACCGCAAACTGACAATAATGCACCCTGCGTCCGATATAATGCGAAACACTATGTGTCTTATTTCTATTGAAGACAAAGACATCCCTATAAACTATTATAGAAAATAACTATAATTAACAGCTTTGTAGATTTCGGATTAATAATTGCAAATAAATCTTTATATTTGATTCTTCAGGAGTTCTTTACCATTGTAGGGATACTTTCATTTAATGTATTTAATTCATCTAGCTTTGATTTAATTGCCTGATGAAGGGAGTTTAACTGCTCTGCAGATGCCTGGAGGTTTGATTCTGATAACTTCACTTCAAGWTCTTGTACTTTCTTCTGGAGWCCCTCATTTTCTTCTCGRCACACCTGTGTTAGTTGATAAAAATTTGTATGATTTTACTTGATATAGAGATGTGCCCAAGGAAGGAATAAGCTGAGAATATGTTGAAAATAGTTTGGTTAAAGCCAATCTTTATATAATTTATCTTTATTGAGAACTCCTGGAAAAACTCTCCAAACTGAGTTCTCCATAAAGATAAAATATTTGGGTTTTCATGCATTGATTGGAACAAATTATGTGACTGATTGCAAAAATGATGGACAAATAACAACAATAGAAGTTCAGTGATGAGTACTGGATTACTCAAATATATTAAAAATTCAAAATGTCCTCTCTTTGTCACAGTTGTTCTCGACAATGTTGTCAGAAAAGCATTTGTCTTTAAATTCCCAGCCTCTTTTAAGATTAAAATTAAATTAAAAAATTAAAAATTGCCTCCTTTAAAATTGCCTCTTATAAGTCAGAATAAATGATGATTTTTTAAAAAAGATAATTATACTAACCTTTACTTGGCTAGTGAGTTCTGTATTGGTGTGTCTTAACAATGCTACCTCCTATAATGCAAAAATAAAATTCAATGCTTCTTTGTTACAATATGGCCATCAGAAACCTGGCTTCCAGTAGAGAACCCAATGATAATGTAGAAAGGCTGCTACAGAGGATACTAGATGATCATGTGGAGATATTGATTTTTTCCATGATATCTCATCAATGTGAGAAAATTTTGATACTGGAAAGAAATTAGCACTTCATTCAGATATCATAAGGAGGCCTTATGGACCACTGGTTGCAAAGTAGCAAAGTGAACATCGATGCAAGTAATCTTTATCATTCAGTAATTTATAATTTCATATTGTAAAAATAACAATTAATTGGTTACTTCTGTTTACCTCTTCTCTTTCTCTTGTTACACTTTCTAAATGAATTATTCTGCCTTCTAAAGCCATTTTATCCTGTGTCAAGCTGTTAAACATGTCAGTATTGACATCAGATGACTCCATCTCCTGTACCTGTAATAAACATTATGAATGTATTATATCAATATATGGATATAACATACCTATTCAACATCAATCTTTAGTTAATTGTGATTCACTAAGCAAGGATTTAGAATAAAACTGTTTCCCATCATTGTTAACCCAACCTTTTTTCTCAGYCGCAAGCTTTCTTCCTTGTAAGCATTCAACTGTTTCTTCCATTCCTCTACRTTTGCAGTACTTTCCTGCAATGCTGCAGTCAATCTTGCATTGTTATTTTTTAATGTTTGTAACTCTGTTTCCCATTTCTTGGCATTTGTTGAGCTACAGAGAAGAAAGGACTAAATGTGAGAGGAAGGAAGGAAGGAAAAGATGGAAAGGAAAGTGAAGGAGGAGTTGAATGTGGGAAGGAACAAAGGATGAAAAGAAGAAATTTAAGGAAAGAAAGAAAGAAAGTTGGTTTGTTGTGGATATTTGCTAAAYGAAAAGATTTCTAAGTCAATGTCATAGGACTATTCAAGGTTATTCTTTTGGTGAAGTTGAATTATGTACCTGGTAGTGAAGGTGAATTAAATCTTGAAAATATTCCTTTTCACATACATGGTTGTATGAGAAAGGAAAAAGATAGAAAGGAGGAAGGAAGGTATTGTATGATGCAAAGAATTAAGAAACAAGACGAGAAATTGAAAGAACASWRGGAGGGAAGAAATGAAAGAAAACWAAAGAYMGCACACCTCTGTGCAAGAGCCATCTTRAGCCTATCATTCTCATATTTCAGCTGTGCTTCTGTGTTGCCAACTGGTTTATGGCTGATACCTTCTCTTTCTTCCTAAAAACAAGCAAAGCAGTCTTAACCTACATATGAACTCCAGTTTTACCCTCTGATAGAATGGGCTAATTAATACAAATACCAATATTTGTGATACATGAAAACATTTCAATCCATGAAAACTAACTTGAAAACAGTGAAAAGTTGAGATTTAAAACTCAAAATATAAAGGATTGAACTAGCTAAAACTTCATTTAGATTCMAAWATTCTGCAATACCAAAAACAGTGATAAGTTAAAATTAAATTAAAAAGGCTTCAGGTGTAATCATTTAAATTTCACACTACTAAAAGAACTCTTAAACACTGTAAAAACTGTCAACACAGCTTTGCTCTAGTGCACTGCTTACAGTGAAAAGTTCTAAAAACCAAGATGCAGGAATAGTTTCATCTGATGCTGTAGAAACACCACTGATAGATTCCAGACTTTTTTTCCTCTTAAACGTTGCAGGAAGAGAGATTTTTCTTGTTGTTGGTTCCTGACCAGCTGGTTGCTTTGCTACATTGCTAGAATCTAGACTTTTTTGTCTCACGAATCGAAGCATGGTCAATGAGCCTCACATTTTTGGTGTGTTTAAATCTCTGGATAACTCAATGTTTTTAAAAGTTACTGCTTTAAGTGCCAATAGAATTATTTAAATGACAATTTGTGAGTTATAAACAAGAGGGATTTCACTAAAAGTTATGCCTTGAGAGACGCTATTCAAAACGTATTGTAGTAACTCTCTTGTTTGTGGTTAAGCATGCATAGCATGGTAAGCCAGCTTTCTTTGTTATCAGTATTAAGTGAATTTATTTGTTTTTCTTGCAAAAACCATTGAATACATTATGTAAATATAACTCTAGGATAAAAGTATTAGCATGAATATTGCATTTAATTATTCATTACTAACTTGTTGTTATCTTAACAAACCCAATCATCAGCACAAGTTATTGAAATTTGAATAAACTACATTTAAAAATATACTTTCTTTTTTGATTGGTCAAGATCAATTTCAATATATCAATGAAATAATTAAAAATCTAAGTAGTTAGACTCCAATATGAGAAACAAAAAAAAAACAAAAACAAAAAAATTGCCAGATAATTTGTCAATTTTTAAGATAATTTGTCTGCTTCTTACTTTGTTATTTTCAAGGGTAAATATTAGTGATTAAATGAAAACCAGTCAATTTAAAACCAATTAATTATTTTGAAATGCTTTAGGGATAATATTAATGCATATTAATCAATTAAATACCTCATTACTGCTGGTTGAAGAGCCACTCTTCATGGATGATGTATGGGTTCCCTGTGGTGTGGGGGAGTCTCGTACACCATTAATTTGAGAAGTGTTTGTTGATATTCCAGTGGTTTGTGGTGATGATGTGCCACTTGATGGTCTGCTTGTGTTAGCTAGAGATGAAGTGGATCCTCTCGCTTCTTTGAACATTTCTGCGAACTACAGAAGAAGAAAAAAGTGAACAAATGATGGAATGAAAACTTGAGAAAATTGATAAATAAGAGAATGAATGGATGAAAAAAATGATTTAATAAAATAAAACAGAAACAAATAAATGAAACTATTATTTCAATTGAATTAAAAAATTGACAAAATCAAATTTATGAATAAAAGGAAATTTTATAAATGAATGGATATTTTGTGAATAGATGAACAATGATTAAACAGAAATATGTGTACACATCTGTTTTCCTTGTAACGTTTAAMAAATACCCAGCTGCCAATAAAAAAAGCTGCACAAATCATCAAAGGCTAATAGCAAAATTGGGATAATAACAGGCTATATACCTTATTTAATTCTGCCTCAGATGGAAATCCTAATCCATAGACACTGTTCACCTTAGGGTCAGACCACTGGCCAAACTTCTGGGATGTTTTGGTGAAATTCATGTTGGGAAATATAGTGCTGTTAATGATGGCCTGAAAAAAGTCACCATTGATATTATTAACTTAAAATAAAACGCATTTGATTAAAATGAGATTAACTAATCTATATTTTGGTGGATTGCTGTAGTTTCTTGGTGGAAAAAAATTACAGGATTGTGAATAATACAAAGAACACCTGATGAAAAGTAAAAGCATAAAACATTTATAGCAGAAAAAAAGAATAATTTCTAGGGAAACTATAAAATTTTCCAAAGGCTTCTTTGATTTACTGTAATCTTTCATTTATTAGTAAATTTATCAACTATCAATGAAAAATGAATTAAGCTTATATTGGCACAGTTGAATAACTGAATCTTAAATTAGAATTGTGTTTGTGAATATATGCATGAAGCAAAACCAAACCACTTAGTTCTGTCTAGACAAGTTGGAATCTCTCAAATATTAACAACGTAAATACAGTTTTCTTGCGATATCGTATAAAACTTAAGACTTAAATGATTTGTTTGTTTATTTGTTAAAAACATTTCACAATCCCGGTGAAAATGCAAGTACAAACATATTGTCCCTAGGGAAATGATTAATAAACACACACAAAAAAATACAAAAAAAATCTTAATTTGGATTTCCGCATTGTTTTTTCTGGCTCGAAATCAAAACACATTTAGATTCCGCATTGTGTTATCATTTTTGTCATGCAGAGCGTGTTTCACTGTTTATACTGAATTTTGGCATCGAAATAATTTATTTATGAAAATCACATCCCAAGTATTATTAAACGGTTTTTTATTGCATTCTTTTCTAAGATTTAAACACTYTGAATGCCAAATCTTTCACATTAGGGAACCTGGGAAATATTTATGATTCATCAGAGTGGAATCCAGTTTGTTAAATAACTTTTAGGGTTTTGCTAGACCAAGTTTTGACCGCGTTCAATCTGGTTCTGATGGAACATTTTTAAAACAACAAAAATGTTTTGTGGATAATTCTTTGAATGAACATGAATACACACTTATAAAGACGCTAATGCCTTTAGCTTTAGCATCGTTAAGACATCTGCGTTGCTTCTGGCAATTGTCAGTCAGAAAAATTAAGAAAAAACAGAGAACAAAAGTTGATGATATCTCTGCATGGAGTCGTCACAATCAGATGTGTGATTTTGAAGTTGGGCTAATTKGGATTCAAAATTCACAAAAGTTAACTCATATATGCTCTAACCACAGGAAAAGGCTTAGAAACCAAAGTAAATATATGATATTCCAGCACTGAGCACCTCTGTGTAAACAACGAAGGGGAATATCTGTGCCAGTTGAACTTCAAAATAAATGAACATTTGGTTTTGAAGACTTCTTTAGCGCCAAAAAACGCACGCAAATTTTCTTAATTTTTCTAAATTACTCATAATTTACCTTGGTTCCATCCACAGAAATAATACGATGTGTTTCCTTAGTCTTGTCATAATAAAATGAGACGGTAACAGCCTGTTTAGAGCAAGGTATCCAGCTTTTCTTCGTCGCTGGGTCGATTTGAAAGACATGTGCTTTCGACGAAAAAACTGGCAGCTCCCTACAAAGAAAACAATAAAAATAACAAACTGTTGACAATAAAAGGTGTCTTAATCTCTGTGAAAAAAATGGATTACCCCATCAACAAATATGAAGAGTAAATAGAGCTCAAAGGAGAACGCAGGCAGCGGCCATCAAGGAGACTTTGTTTTCAAAATGAAGACGACGCACGCTCGACTCAGGCCCCTAACGGAGTAGCAACAATTTTACTTTTTTCCGCTCCCAGGAAACTAGAACAATCACCGATTTCTTTGCTGTTCCGGTATATTGTAGATTTTACTTTGTTTAATTGGGTAAAAGCCGTTTTTATTTAAAATCCGTACACGCTTTTATTTCAAAGCCTTGCACTTTAGAAATATCAAGTGCGTACTAGTACATGGACGTCACTTCAAAAGTAGGTTCCGTCACTTTAATAAATTTTGTCTAAAGCGATGCTCTTCAAATTCCTCAAGAAGACACTCAGTGTTTTTACACAATTTTATGCTGTCTGAACTATATCTTGTTGTAAGTAGACCAAGCTGTCGTTATAAAAAAGTAAGTGTTGTTCAAGTTGTTCAAGTTGCTGAATGCTGTCGTTGCTGTGGTTGCCGTGCTTGTGCACACCAATGTATATCATGTTTCTATAACTGAACCTATTGGTCACTATGTTAAGTTAATTTGCATTGGAGATGAAAGTCTTTGAGCATTAGAAGATTACGATGAACCAGCATTTTGTTAGCAATGTCGGCTAATAAAGTACCTTCATTGAAATCAATTATATCAATGGCGTATTAAATACAAAAGCTTTTAGGTATTTTTTTCGACTGCTAAAACACTAATGGCTTCATTTAGGTTGATAGAATTTTGAATACCAGTAGTGAAGGTCATTAAGCGCGACTTGTCCCAAATTGAAACAAGTTGTATGTAATCAATTACATCATAAACTCCAGGATCAGCTAAATGAGTTAAAACCGATGATAACACGAAAAAGAAAATATAATCTTCGCTGTCACAAAGCTCTCTAATAACTTGGTGGAGTGGCGCAAACTCAGGATGCGGTCAAATGTCCAAAAGCCGAATACTCTCACCGACCGACGTCCAAAACTACTCACCAAGAGGCTAATTGAATTACTGAGTCCTCAGTTTCCATCCTTGATGCGTCGAAGAAGAACAATTTAGCTTGTTTAAGAGCGCAGACGCTTTTAGTTTGGTGAAGACGTTGTTTGGAGAAGAAGTGGTTTCAGCATGTCAAGTTGTCTTTTCAACGGGGTACGACTGTACTATGTCAATAAAACCAAAGCTATTGTTTGATACACCAATCACAATTCGCATACCGGAATCACATACCTAACTTATGTATAATAGCTAATCCAAAATAAATAGGGAACAGATTTGTGCATTTATTGGAAAGATACTTGCTTAAAAAAATAACAACAACAAAAAAGAAGAAGAAGGAAAAAAAATTCTATATGTGGCTTTATGCACGTGACGTAGACCAACCGATGTTTTCCTTACATTTTTTCTTCAATTATTCCATTCTCTTGAACATCCATTCGACTTGTTTTCAATTCTCTGTATTAAAAAAAGCATTTTTGCGAAGTGAATAAAATGGTCCGGTTGATAGATTTTTTGGCGTACAACGCCCGGGACAACGGTAGTGTGGGTAATTTTTTTTCTTTCACATTTTCTTTGATTTTTCGATTTATTTCTTAGAGCATATACAAGAACAATAGGGTGCTCAACAGTATCTCAATCTTTATAGCTCATAAATGTGTCATAAATGACTTAAAAATATTTATATAGCATGATCTTTTGGGCTTCCTATGTATGGAAGCCAACTCACCAGTCCCATGATGCATTGTTCTCGTCGTCATACGACTCTCAGTGGCAGCCATTTTGGTTAGTATTGAATTAGATGGTTAACTCCAAGGAATAATTCTTAATTCGCTGGTTAAAACCTCATAAAAGTTGCGGGACATGGCTACWCGAAGATCAGGCCAGCTAGTCCAACGCAGCACAACTCATTCTGAGAAAAATCCCGACGATAATCCAGATATTGAAAAGCTAGAAGGTTACGATAGCGATGAGGCGGGCGACAAGAAAGAGGTCAGACTGACWTTAATGGAAGAAGTTTTGCTGATTGGTCTGAAAGATAGAGAGGTATTTATACATTTATGTTAGTAGACTATGCTTCATTTTAGGGTATTGTTCTTGATGTTTCTTCTGTATAAACACAGGGCTACACGTCGTTCTGGAATGACTGTATATCATCTGGTCTTCGAGGATGTATGATGATCGAGCTTGGATTGAGAGGTCGTATYGAGCTAGAGAAAACTGGCATGAGGCGACGTAGTTTACTTAACAGGAAAGTCATATTTAAAAGCGACAGTCCTACGGGAGATGTTCTATTAGACGAAGCTTTAAAGCATATTAAAGAAACCGACCCTCCAGAAACRGTTCAGAACTGGATAGAACTACTCAGTGGTGGGTACCATTCTATTTATTTTGAAATAATGAATGTACACGTCGACTTAATTTAAAGGCAGTTTTAACAATTATTGAATTTGTATATTAATGTTGTATCTATAATAATATTTAATTCTGCAATATTTAGATATAAAATGCAAAATAATTATTATTTCGACGACGTACTCTTAGCTGTAGTGATTTTTTATCTAAATTTGCATCGATGTGTAAATTGTGTGTTGTCTATGTTAATTTTAGATACTGATTTGAATATAGTGAATTTGTTTTCAGACAATATGTCTTGTACAAAATTCTGATGATGTAAAACTATTGTAGTACATGTGAAGGCAGTTTTTCTAATAGGAATTGTGAGAAAAGCTCCCATAAATAAAAGTGACTTAAGTAAAGACATTGACAGTGAAATGCTCCACCTAAGTGACCTGAATAAGAAACTCCATGGAAATTTTAAAAGTCACAGAAACATGACAATATTGCATTCATCTTATTTGCCTTGATCTTTTTTTTGATATTTAATCATATTTATGTAAAAACGTTTATTAAGTGATTTGGAGAATTTCAAACTGATATCATAATAAATATATCAAAAAAGGTGACTGATGCTTCAAAAATAAGCCTTCGATTTATCACTACACTGCAGAATATACTTGAATTGCCCTAATAAGCATACTGTGATATGATGTGATTTTATTTACTGAGAAATTAAAGTGCAAAACACATAGAATCACCAGTGAAATAGCCATGATTTCTCTTTGAGGTCATAATTTTTGCAAATGACTTATTTTTCGTAGTGCTCAATTTAATAGGAGCAATTCACACTTTAAATATTGAACTAAAATCTGTGTATATATTACTAAATCTTGTTCATTATTCCCATTATATTTTGTGATATATTTATCTTTTATTTGTGTTGCAGGAGAAACATGGAACCCCTTGAAATTAAGGTATCAACTTCGAAATGTCCGTGAACGATTGGCAAAGAATCTTGTAGAGAAGGGTGTCTTAACAACAGAGAAGCAGAATTTTCTTCTTTTTGATATGACAACACATCCTGTGATAGATTCAACAGTGAAGCAACGTGTAGTAAAGAAGGTACAGGATGCCATGCTTTTGAAGTGGGTCAATGACCCACATAGAATGGACAAACGCTGCCTATCTCTAATTTACCTGGCACACTCATCAGATGTTCTGGAGAATGCTTTTGCTGCCCTTTCGGATGACGACTATGAACTTGCAATGAAGAGAGTACGTGAACTGTTAGATGTAGATCCTGAAATGGAGTCTCAGAAGCCACAGACCAATGAAATGATGTGGTGTGTTATAGCRGCTTTTATYAAATAACACATTCWTKAGAACTATCTTTATTTCTTTAAGCAGGGTTAAGTTAAGGCAAACTCAAACAGTGCATCGATCAACTACTAAAAATACAATGTATAAAATCATCCAAAAGGTCCTTGAATACCAATAGTTATTTTAGTCAAATTTGAAAAGACATCTTCTCTATATCTCCAAAAGTTTCATTTCTATAGAATGCTAGAAAAGTCAAGAGATATTGGATATGCCGAAAGGGCATCTTTGTTCTTTCTGTAGTTTGTAATGATTTAGCGATACTTTGTGTCTATGATATCGGTTATTGTGGCAATCATGTTGACTCTAACCCTCATACAAGATGTTTTGTTCATACAACCAATCATTTCTGAATGACACATTGAT